GAAGAAGATACATCCCGTAAAATTAAGAGACTTTGTTGAATTGTAATTTTGTGTTTGTAATTCTGTACATTTAATTAAGTTATTGTTAATTGTTATTGGTTTAATATAATTGGCTATTGTTCGGGATGAACAATACTAAGGAGGGGGCAGTGTTGTGTCAGCGAGGTCACGTGACTAGTATCACGCCACCTCTTTCTAGAAATATCCTGTTCCTTCAAGAATGCCCTAGCATTTACTAGATATGTGTTAGTCTTGTATAAATAAGACGTTTACAACGTGACGGGACATCAGGGTAATGAGTAATTGAACTGCAGTCAGAGAGAATATTGTTAAGCACGTGAGAAGTTCATTGAGAATTATAGCGTTTGTTACAGAGCGACTGTTGAAATTAAGTGTATCGTAAAGTTGTATTCGGAAAGAATAAACCAGTTTTATTTAAGAAAGGACTTGTGTCGCTAAAGTTTGGTCGGAACGAATTTACGTAAAATTTACGGAGATATAACAGTATTGTTCCGAGTTTATCAGTTAATTCTGAGTATGCGTGTGTGAAGACTTCCCATAATATGTGGTCAAGAATGTGGTTAAGTTGATTTCATCGTAGCTGTTATTGTTCCTTTGTCATTTACCTATTCTATCCATAGAAGCCAAGATTGTAATCTCTCTTGTGTTTCAATAGGATTGACTAACAGTGACATAGGTGGCACACGCATCCTAAGAATAGTGTTATAAATTTGGTATATAATACTATGATGTCTTAATCAGCTCTCTTCCTCTCAAGCTAAAGCCCTCAGTTGGGTAAGTGTAATTTAAGTCTTTTTCTTCGTAAATAATAATACTATAACCTGAAGCACTAATGAATTCTTATTAAACATTTTTCTAACCTCTTAAGAGAATGTAGAGAGATAACTATGAAGTAAAAGTGCTTGTGAGTCTGAATAGATTGTTTCATTGGTTTTTGTACATCTCAAAGTTAGAGATTCAGTATTACCTCATAACAAATATCTTTTTAAAACTCCTGTTATTAAGTGGACCTATCCCATCACACTAAGGTTAACTCAGTTTTATTCAAATATATCATAATATAGAATACTTTACTTGGTGGAGCAGAACCCAAAATCATAAATCCAATCTAGACCTCACATTTTACTATTAAAATTAAACTACTCTAAATTATTGCACTTGTTTTAACTGTCAAAGTTTTTATGCTTGGGTGTTTGTGATAAACTATTTTAGACTCATACAAAATCAAGTTTGTGAAGTCTGAAACATTTTAAGTTTAAGACAGCCAGGTTAATATTATATTCAGTTAAAATAATTGTCAGTTATTACATTAAAGACAAGTGGTACTCATTTTCTATGAGCCATATATTACCATGTTCTTACATTTTCATAACCATCATCTCACTTTGTAAAAATGTCCAAAATTAGTATGGTTATTTAAAAAACAAACAAATCTAACAAAGGAGAATATTCTAGCTTCCCACTTTGCATATGATCTTAAACTTGTTCACTTTCAGTTAAAAGAAAAATGCATGGAAGTTTAAATAACTTACAAAAACAAAACTGTTGTATATTTATTTTCATTGCAAAGCTATCATTGACTTCAATCATTAAATAGTCCATGAAGTTCTAAGTCATTTACTAAATGGTAACTCATAAACAAAGAAACATATTTGTTCAAAAAGTAAATAAAAGAAAGTACTAAAAATTACATGTAGTTGGAGAGATTAATACAAACTAAACCCAATAATTTTTTATCACTAATAAAAACATGCTAGTACTGAATTACTGAATGCTTCCACATATTTTCTTGTATTAGTAAAGACAGTAAAAAGAGGTTGTTGGTTTGTTTGGTTGTTGTTAAACACCAAGCTACACAAAGAGTTACCTGTGCTATGCCCACCATGAGTACTGAAACTCAATTTTCAGTGGTGTAAACCCTCAAACTTAACCACAGAGCCACTGTGTGTGTGAGTGAGTGGGTTGGTGGGGTGGAGGGGCTATCTGCTGTGTCCATTGCAGGGAATTGAACCCTGGATTTTGGCAGAAGTTAAACATTTGAAATTATATCATTAAAAGAAAAAGTACACATCCCCAGTGGTGGGAAAAGTTTAAGTTAATCTATCAGTTTAAATTATTTCATTAAAGTAATTGTTGAGCATTTCAGATATGTTAAGAGCCGCACAACAATAATATATGGTAAATCTACACTTTTATTCTTTAAGTTATGTCACATTTTGTAATGTGAATGATAGCGTGATAAGTTCCTAGCAACTTAGTGTAGACTATCCTGCTTGTGAAATAAAATTTGACAACAACATTATTCATGCCTGTTCTCCCATCATTTCAAAAGTGAACGTTGAGCTTTGCTTGTGTGCACAGCTTCTCAAACGCAGTGCGGGAAGCGGCCACCATAAATGGAAGACAGACGACGCTCAGACAGACAGATACTACGGTTCGTGATATATATATACAAGATATACAACTTACTGACTACTCAATATATAAAGCTTTATGTGCTTACCAAAATAAAACTTGTTATAACCTTTCAGCTTTTTTATTCAGAAAAAGTTATTATGTTGCATACATGATGCTTCATTATTATAGTCAGCTTACAGAAATTCACAGATACTACATGTCAGATTACACTTAAAAAAATGAATCCACTTGCACTTACATTCATATCAAGTTCTTCATTCTTAGCTTCCACATGAAGTTCAGCTTCTAATATTCTTTCTTTAGCCAAGCCAGAAACAGAATTGCAAGTACTCTCTACTTCATTTTTCTTTCTATTCTTCATGCGTCGTCGTTCCTCTTGAACCGCTATTGGATGTATGAAAGAATAACAAAGAGCCATCTATCAATCTCTTTCAACCATCATTGTCATGATGAGTAGCCTACAGGATTACCCAAGTTTAAGTATTAATTAGTCACTTTTTCAATTATTACTAACTATTTTATCCTATGTTTCAAGGAAATTTCTGTATTGACAATCCTTTTCATGACTTTCCTGAAGACAGCAGCATATTAGCAGCTGAAATATAGGTAAAAATAGTTAATAATTAGTATCTGGTCATGGAAAGAAAAATTACCAATTAATAATTAGACTTAGGTGAACAACATATAGGCTATTAACCATGACAATAACTGATGTCTGATCACCACAACCTTACAAAAAGTACTCCTTTAATCACTTTTTAATTATCTACATTTTTAAGGAATGCTAAACAATAACTAATTTATTACATTTATGTTTTTTGGAAATATCACATAAAGACTAGTACTATTTTTTCATAACTATTTGTCAAAAAATAAACTATATATACGTTTCTATCAAAAATATTGCAACACTAGTACTCCAGCTTACACTTTGTTATAAGCTGATAAGGATCTTCAGTCAATTTCATTCTAATAATTCCAAGCTATGGTTGTTACTGATAATATACTTTATTCCCAAAATATGTAAACCAACCAGAAAGATTGAAATATGTAATTCAGGCTCTCGGTACCATAAATTATATAAATAATGTATTTTAATTGATGTCCTTATATAAATATACGTATATATCATGAACATTTATATAAAATGAATTATGTCCCAAATTTGCCACGATAATTATGTTCTACAGTTTAAATTTGAAAAGAAAAATATTTATTATACAGAGCTAATTCTGGAACAAGCACTAAAGATACAAATTTATACAGATATCATGAGACCTCATTATGGCAGGAAAAACTTCCAAATGGCTATTATTGTTATTATTCTACTTTAGAATAAATTAAAGTGTACACAAGTATTACAGTCACTCTTCATTATGAACATATAATCATTATCTTTCAGCAAGCCAGTTTTGGTTTAATCTTTCTATTAGCAATCAAAGCTCACGTTCTATTTTTTTCTTCACATTTTCACAAATGAAGATGTTGTGGAAGTTCTGATTGAGAACCAGTTTTCTTAGCTTAATGGCAAGAGCTTCTAGCATTCTAAGGTGGAATTCCACTCAGAAATGGAGAATGACATGGAAGAATGCACAATATCACATTTGTTTAGACAGTACTTGGGTAATACTACTGGTGTTGTATGTTTTATTGATACAGTGTTCTTTTACTCAACCACAGAGCTTTTCTATTAACTAAGCATGCAATTATTGATAGATCTGGTTTCACCTGTATTTATTTTGTGTACATTGCTAACTACCGGAAAAGCGAAAATTTTTGAATTTATTGTTTAGGCAAAAGTTTGGAAATGAGAGTCTATAAAACTTGTATTGACTAAGCTACGTGTTTCGCTATGCATCAGTTCCTAAGGTAACAAAAGTACAGAGGACTTAGTGTGTTAACTCAGTCAAAAAGAACAAAAAACACAGTAAATAATTATACTACATGTTTCTACATAAACACAGTTTTGATATACAAAGTTAGTACTTATGATATTATTTGGTCCTAAGGCTTAAAATTTCTACAAGGCTGAAGACTTTATACAGATGAAAAGAAAAAAACATTGATGATTGAAAAGTTTCAATCAGTAAACTAACTGCTGAGGTGAAGAAAATAAATGGATGAAATCAGAAATTAGTTGCACTCTAACTATGCTATCTACATCAAAAGTTTCATAAAACGTTACATCAAAATTGGCTCTAAACTACTGTTAAAAAAACAGTGCAATACACTGTAATAAAAACTATTTTATATGCTATTACCCTTTTATTCATATTAATTCACAATAACCTAATTACAACTGCAGTGTTCAAAATTATGAGTAGTGTTATTGTGATGTCTTATCATCTATTCTAACTTCAAAAAGCTTTGTGTTTTATACATTGTTTAACTATTTACATTTGATACTAAAAATCTTTATATCTTTAAAAGGAAAAAAATATATACTGATGTTTAAATGATAATTTTATCCAACAGATGGCCCTTTAATATTTTTTTCTTATAATAATAATAATAAGGAATATGGAGACTTCCATAAAAGTCCCTATTACTAGTATACAATTTTTATAGACTGATATTTTTATGTTCCACAAAATCTAAAATTGCAGAAAAGCATTAATGTAATATATTACTTATGATTCTGTTACTCATATAATTAATTTACTTCACATCTCTTAAATAGATTACTCCATCACTTATACGAATTAGGTTTACCTTCACGTTTCATGCCCATGACAAGACATTTTTGGTAGCGACAATACTGGCATCTATTTCTCTGGCGCTTGTCTATGATACAGTCCTTGTCTTCTCTACAAGTGTATACGAGGTTCTTTCGTACAGTGCGTTTGAAAAATCCTTTACAGCCTTCACAACTATTAAAACAATTTACTAAATTACAAAAAATACCTTTGTGTCAAAATACATATTTGATAAAATGTTCAAATACAGATTATATAAAAGAAAAAGATTTAGGTTTCCAAATTATGAAAAAAACAGCATTACAATAAAGGTAGCAATTAAATTAAAGGAAAATATGAAACATGATAAAAATATATAAAGGTATTATGTGGTTCTTAAATAATTATTTTAATCCATCACTGCATTTTAATTTTGTACCCAAAAATATGATTATTTTACTGTGTTAAATGTAATCAACAGTACTTATATTAAGCCTTATAATAAAACAAAATTTTAATGTAATCCTCCATCCAGAACCATATACACTAAGAGAAATGACTATTTTCTGTGTATAATTCATTTGGTCATTTCATGAATAGAAGGTAATTTGTATTTAAATCAAATTTTCATTGTCAATTTCCACTGAAGAATCAAAAATATTCATTATAAGTCAAAGTAATTTTGGTAAGAGGGTCCATTATCAATAATCTTTAGGACAAACTTTTGAAGCCCATTAAAACCCACTGTGTTTCCAAAGAAATATATTTCTCTTCAAAAATCTTGAATATTTCTTTTGTTTAGTTTCAAGTATTCTTGTCCATTTGATATCAGTGGCAGTTCACTTGATAGTGAAGAGACGGCTTGTAATATTTTAAACCCACCTCAAAAATAGAGAACAGTAAAACAGATACTTACTTTAGCTAACTCGATTTATTTATTCGTGAATCCAAGTAGTCAATCTTTCATAGCTGCAAACACATTGGTAATGCTGTTGTGCCATATAAAGCCTCACCATTCTTCAAACAGTAAAACTCCAATATAGCCTCCAAATGAAGATAAACCGTCATAATTTTTAACCGTGTCACTGCACATCACTTAATGAAACCCACTTTTAACTAGTAAAAAAAACACAGTAAATGGAACAAACTGTGAGATATCAGAGAAACTAGTTTTGACACATTTGTGCATCCTCTTCAGTCTCACATTGTCTTCTGTGAATGTGTTGAAACTAGTTTCTCTGATATCAGACTTCTGACAGTTTGTTCCATTTACTGTGGTTATTTCACTAATTACTGTACACAGTATTGTGTTCTTTTATTACTACATTTAATTGTTTATATCTTTAAAAAAATTGAATAATCATATAATCATTAAGTTTGTAACAGCTCTTGGTCACCACAACTTTGTGAGGCTTGTGTGCTCCTTCTGGGTTTCTTAAAATGATTTTTATTCATTATTTTTAAAGCCTACAATCTTCATTAGCTGTGCAGCCAGCCTCAAAATCCTTGTTAAGCTGAGGGAAGAAAGTATGACTTTTTCCATCACAGCACAGAGAAACTGTTCACATAAAAAAAAAGCCATGAAACACAGCTGCTGCGCTTCACACCATGAGATGTAACCTCAATGAATGGCATAGGAAGAGACAATAATATTACTGAATGCTTTGCTAGAAAGATATATTGTTTTTCAAGAACTTTACCCACCGAAACAAAGAAAATAGAAATATTTATTCAAAAAATTAAGAAATATTTTATTTGTTCCAATTCTTTTAGGAGGCATGAACCCCCTTTTCTCCCCCCCCCTCCACTGATTGATAAAGTTGTTAAATATAATGATAAAAAATTCCATTTAACTTTCTCTGAAACAGTTTGTATCTTTAAAAGGAAGGATTTGCTTTTCATATCAAAATGTCCCATTTTTCTGCACTTGAAATATATAAGAGCTTTAGCAAGATTTCCAAACCAAGCACATGAATGTGCATGTGTAGCTGCTGGAATAGTCCTTCTAGGTTAGAGGCATTCCATCAAAACAGGAAGTTAAACATTAGCTGTTATAATCATTATGCCATACAGAGTTTTGCTGGGCTTTTATGGGTAGGATAGCTAAGAAAAGCAATCCATACCCTCAGTAGGGTTGACTAATTATACATCTTTCTTATGCTCCAAATTAAAGCTATTATTAAATGAATACTAATCATTTAAGGTTTTATGTGGTCAGTTTAGATGGATAATTTTGGTAGAAAGCAAGACCTATAGTTTGCTTTTCACTATATCATTTGAAGAATATCCAGAAGCTACATTTTGAATGGTTATCAAAATACAAGTTTTTTCCCCTTATAAGCAAGGAATGGTGAAATGATCTCATATATACCATGGTTCCAAGACGTGATTGTATTTCATGTAGAATGCTTTAGTATGCATGCAAACCATTTCTTTCATAACAATTTGTGCTGCGCCAAACTTGTTGTCTACATCTCTTCATTCTATGGAAAACTTGTCACATGTACATTTTTTTAAGAATGTGAACATGTTTTCAATAGTTTTATTAGAATGATGTGCACCATACAAGTTTCTAGTCACATTCTTGGTTTTGATTTACTGATATCCCTCTGTATTTAAGGTCATGTTCTTGATTTTGATTTTCTAACATTCCCCAGTATTTTTTTCATCACATTCTTAGTTTTATCTTTTATTTAACACCTTCCAATGTTTTTATTACCAGTTTAGTTCTTTGAGCTCCTTAATTTTCGTTCTTGTTCTTCTGTTGTGCTTTTTATTACTGATACATCATGTATGCATACAAAAATTAATCAGTACAACTTCTCAGACTTGTAACTATATGAATGTGTCAGTTGCACCCATGACGTTAAATGCTGCTTAGCAGGATTACAAATGATTTTTACATGGACGTTTCACATGACTTTTTGACTTGTTAAGAATGAAAACTTCATGGCATATTGACTCACATTAAGAACAATACCTAAATTTAACAAAATAGCTGATTAACATTACTATTCTTCTAAATGTCAAATAAACATACACAATCCAAAACAATTATAAACCAAGCAAATTGTTAATCAAGGAAAATTACCACAAATGAGAAGAATGAAGTTAAATAAAAACACAGTTGTTAATATCCTGAAAATATGTAGCCAATGTGAATTTAATGTGATTACTTAGCTTTGCTGTGAGAATGAGAAAATAATAACAAAATCAAGAAATAGCTCTAACACAAAACACCAAATCCTAAGACAATAATTTTATAAAGGTTTTCAAAATAAAGGCTAAAAATTATTAAAATAAAGGTTGACATGCATAAAAATGCAGTATTTTTAATGCTGTTTTGTAAACTTCATATTAACAACACAGGAAATAGTCAGCAGGACATTTATCTATTTGTAGTTTGGTAGATATGTATGTTTTTAATGTCATATATTGTTTTGTTATGTTATCAATTTTGTGGTTATTTACCTATATACAGCAAGTATATTTTAAATCATGTTAAACTGCCAGTGCTTACTCTGAAGTATTCCCAGATGTCCACTTAAATATTTTTGGAACCACTTCTATCTGGTTGTTTTCCACAACAAAATATATAAAACACTTTTACTTCCTTTTGTTGGACAAATTGGATGATGAAGCAACTGAGTCATGTTCACAGATGGCTCAAAATAATATTTAAAGTTTTCAAATGACATTATGTAAAAGCAACACATGGCATAAAATTGAAAATACATAGATCTACAAACTACAAAGAGCTATTCTATGAATACATGTAACACACAGGTGTTTATATGCCCGGCTGACAGAATTAGTATTTTGTGTGGCACAAAACTCTTCCACTTTACAAAATAAAACTCCAGCATGTTAAAATAAAAGATTTTACACATTGTTTAAAGAAAGTAAAGGTCTTAAAGGTTCAGTTACCTGAAAAATATTTTTCATAAGTTTCAAAGGTTCCCCTAGAGGGCTTACAAAACTGCATTTTAAAACTTTTGAACATAAAAAAATTACAAAAACAAACAAACAATATCACATGCTACTGACCAGTGATATATTTGAACTAGGGTATATTTTATAAATAATTTAAACAAATTCAAAGTGACACAAATAGCTTGCAAGAATCAGCACTGCTACTGACACAACTAAGCCAGCTGGTGGTGTAATAAGTAACTGAGATAATTTTAAACTTAAAAGGTTTCTTTACTTATCTATATTATTTGGCAGAATCAAAATGTACTTCAACCAAAATGACACCACAAAAATCCAAACAGGAATTTAATGTACCTCAAAAGACCATAGTGTTTCCCGGATGCCTGGTCTCCACAGATGGAACATATATGCTTTGAACCACTAAATGGATAACTTGGTTGTGGAATGTGTACATCTTGATGGGATGACATCTGAAAAATGTTAAATTCATGAATCACATTACAGAACAAAAATATCTCACAAAAATTACAGTTATATTGAAGTATTGTAACATTTCTTAAGATAATATACATTAATACTTATTGTGATTTCTAGTATACTTGTATAGTTACAATTTAAATTTTCTATAAAAAAATGTAAATTCTGAAAATGGTAGGAAAAGAAACCAGTTATTTTTCAAAAAAATTTTCAATGTGAATTTATCCAAAGTTTCATGAATTATATATTCAGGAAGGTAACACTTATATCGTAGCTTTTTATCCAAAATGTAATATCCTAAAAAAAACCAGTCAACATGACATGCTAAATAACATTAAAAGATATTAATGGGAGATAAATATGCATATCATATTATAATATGTAGTTAATCTTACATTTAGTTTAATACTCAGTTGCCTATTACAGCTTACTATGGGGGATTACATGTTTCTCGTATACATGCTTTATTGTTTGGTGATCTGTTAATATTTACCACTATTTATAAATGTAATGAAAAAAGGTTCTTTTCCTGCACATAATGTCAAATTTAGAAACAAGCAAGTATACACTGTTTTTACCTCTCACAAACGTACAACAAAATATGTAATGTTTAATCCCTTAAACAAAAGATGGACTCCTAATTTAAATCTTAATTTTATAAACAAGTTATATTTGGTGGAGAGAGAAGTCCCTCTAAATTCCCCACTACCTATCAATGGGCTATGTAATTTGATTACAATAGCATTTGGAGCATGGAATAAGCTATGGCTACCACAAACTGTTTAGTAGTTGAAGGTCTATGTTAAACCTATGTCACGTTCAAGTAGTAAAACAACAATAGAACTTGGTGCTTGATAAGACTAGCACTAACTGCTTAGTAGTTGAAGATCTATGTTAAACCTATGTCACGTTCAAGTAGTAAAACAACAATAGAACTTGGTGCTTGATAAGACTAGCACTGACTGCTTAGTAGTTGAAGATCTATGTTAAACCTATGTCACGTTCAAGTAGTAAAACAACAATAGAACTTGGTGCTTGATAAGACTAGCACTGACCATTTAGTAGTTGAAGATCTATGTTAAACCTATGTCACATTCAAGTAGTAAAACAATAGAACTTGGTGCTTGATAAGACTAGCACTAACTGCTTAGTAGTTGAAGATATGTGAAAATTCTACACATATACAACAAACTGGATATTTATATTAAGAATCGTGTAACTCCAGCACTCAAATACAGTGCAATGTTTTAGAGATATAAAGATATATATACAGGACCACTGATAGGGGGAAGGTAACAGGGGGATTATCCCTGGGAGCCTGTATAAATTGACTTTTCAGAATGCATTAAAAACTGCCATGAACAGGCTCAGAAAGTTGCATTTTATAATTAACTGATATTATGGGGGCCCAAATGTACATGTTTACCCCCAGGGCCAGAATACTTCTCAGCGGCCCTCCAATACAGTAAGACTTTCTAATAAAAACAATAGTACCGCTGAGAATTTCATAGCGTTATAAGTATACAATACTCACAACATAAGAGTTTGGAGAGAAAACTCCAGTAATTCCAGGTGGCGAGAATCTGTCAATTACAGTCCCTGGTGCCCCAACAGAATCCTCCACTGATCTTGTGGAAAATCCAGGACTGCTACTAGTGAAAGAGTGATCACCATCTAATGCTGATTCTAAAAGGTTGAAGGGGAGTAATTGTTTATCGTTTATGCACACAACATGACTAAAACTTTTTCCCCCAATAATGAAATATAGTAATGAACAAAAGGTTTCTGGTCTACAAACTAAGGTCATACATGTTACTTGTATCTCAAATCAACACTTTTTAGTTACACAGTTACTTATATTTCAAATACACTAGTTTAACATCCAAGTTCCAACACTTTTATCCTCAAGCTAACATAACTTGATTACAAACATAACATGTAACAGGCAAGAAAATGCTAGTCAAGTTATATCTAATTGGTAATATGTCACAATTGATTAAAAAGAAGCATTAATATTCAAACTTTTAAGACTATAAACTTTTTATATAATGTTTAAATTCATGTTGAACTGAGATGTCTAAATAAAATTTAACTTTTTCATCTTAATAGACATTGATGATAAAATACTCTTCAAGGTTTTCATTGGTTTCAACATGGGCAATGGAAACATGTTATAAAAATTAAGTAACCAAATCATAAAATTAAAATGCTGCATTTACTCTTACTCCAAATCCTTTAGAATGTATTACAGCAAGCATAATATTTTGCATGACAGATCCCTTATGTTATAAAAACAAAACAAAAAGACATCTCTATCTTAATGTAACAAAATGTGCAAAAACCATCCACGAATTATATCACACTGCATCTATTTGACTTTAAAATCATAAGTTATTTAACTTTTCTGAACATGGTCTATATTTAACCAAGTAAATATGTCTTTGTGAAAATTGCTTTATCATCAAAATTTACATGTCTGAGCAATTTACTTGTATGGCTGATACAGGCGAAAATCATAAAGCAAACAGACTCTTTTGTGTTACTTCCACAGCTAATATAAGAGTAAATCATGAAGCACACTAACTCTCCTGTATTACTTCTGCAGCTGATACAAATCATGAAGCATACAAACTCTCCTGTATTACTTCTACAGCTGACAAGAGTAAATCATAAAGCACACAAATTCTCCTGTATTACTTCTACAGCTGACACAAGAGTAAATCATGAAGCATACAAGCTCTCCTGTATTACTTTTACAGCTGACACAAGAGTAAATCATGAAGCACACAAACTCTCCTGTATTACTTCTACAGCTGATACAAGAGTAAACTATGAAGCACACAAACTCTCCTGTATTACTCTGAAAGGGTAAACCATTAAGTACACAGAATCTCCTATCACAACACAGATGAACGAATTCCACAAAATCATCGCACAGAAAGTGAGTACAAATTTGTAAAAAGCAAGCAACAAATTTACCAATGTTTGCTTTTTCGACATGGGCAGTTTCCATTCCATAAGACACTATTACAAAAGACACAAGTTCACGAAACTAGAAATTTAAAAATTCCTTATAAATTTTCAGTTAAACTGTATTAACAAAATGCGTCAATTATGCAAGAGCTTCATGATACAGTTACTACACCACCCTACGCTTCATATACAGTAAAAACGAATATTCGATAAATTTTTATCTAAACTTTAAAGATAATTTTTTTCGTTACACAAACTGTAAACTGTGGGAAAAATTAGATTTTAGAATTTATTATTTAGAAAGGTATATGTAGTAACGTGAATATACATCACGACAGGCTTCGTTATGTTAGCAACCGATGTACAGTGATAATATATTGTTACGTCTCCGTTCGTTCGTTAATTTTCCGTAAATTCGTTCCGACGAAACTTTAACGACGCAAGTCCTTTCTTAAATAAAACTGGTTTATTCTTTCTGAATACTGCTTTGCGATACATTTAATTTCAACAGTCGCGCTATAACAAACG